CTTAATGCAATTTGATTCCCAGGTACTTTATTAGCTGAAAAATATCATCATTATGTCATGGCTGTGTCAGTTCTATGGGATAGACCAGACTAAAAAGCATTCATTGTGCATCTTGGAATTAAGTGGGAGAGGAGATGCTGTTTGAGGTGTTTTTGTAAATCATCATTTTCTTGGCTCAAGCTAAAGCCTCATTTATCCCAACAGATTTTCTCCTTCTCAACCATCCTGTAAATTCACTATAACCTATTCACAGTTATACATATAACTCAAGCAAATTGTATACTCTGAAGTAGAAGAGTTTTCATACTTTGGTAAAGGATCTGTAATTTTTTTTTTTAGAAAAAGGGGGGGTCTGCATAAATAAACTGAATTTAATGAATGATAAGGTATTCAGAATAGTTGCCATCAAATATTTGCATCTATGTGTAACACCAGTTAGCAGATTTAACTATTTTAGTTCCTTCATTATTCTTCTACTTAGGTTTGCGAAAACTGGCACTCTGAGTGTAGAGGAGACTAGTTCTCCTCAGAAGCCCATCAGAAGTGCCACCTCCCCTGGAACAGCCACTGTACTAGATGTAAATCTGTCAACTCTAATGTTCATTGGTGGACTTGGAGGACAAATCAAGGTGAAAGGTTTACTGTAATGCGATAGTTCACTTGACAAATATTGAAGATGATTTCCTCTTCACTGTGATGAACCTATAAGAGCTGTCAAGCATTCAGAAATGAAAAGAAAGACATCTATATGATGGTTGCTTGTTCTTGTAAACCAGAGTGCTTTAAAATATTGCCAGTGACTATAATTTTAATGTGAGAAACTGCACCATCCTTGTGGAACATGGGGTGGGGTGGGGGACAAATTCATGAGACTAATTTCAAGACTCAAGTTCATCTCTTTTGGACATATGTCATGTTGTTGCACACAAACACAAAATTTGCAGCGTTGTGCTGCAGTACTGACAAAAGCAGCAAGCCCCTGAGGATACCACCGGAGATAGGTGAACGTTATTACGTGTATGGGGATTAATGATATTAGTCAATATTAACTTGATTTGAATTAAATACCATTGTCTCATTTTTGCAGTGTGGACAATGGCATGCTACTCAAATACAGTAGAGTTCATCAGTGGAGCTCAGATAAAGCGTTCTATTAACTGATTTTGTTTTACCTTACACTAAATCACACACACAAACATACATACACACACACACACACAGAGCAGGGAATAATGAATCAAACTTTTTTTCACTTACCTTTGTAACTGTACCTGAAGGAATTTCAAATAGCCAAAGCTTATTTTACTTACTGTAAACGTGTTCTGTTTTCTATAGAAATCACCATCAATTAAAGTAACACATTTTAAAGGGTGCATTGGGGAGACATTCCTGAATGGCAGACCAGTGGGGCTTTGGAATTTTATGGAAAGAGAAGGCAAGTGCACAGGATGCTTTGGAAGGTGAGAACTGGAAAGTAGCTGCTTATACCCATTTTATTTATCTATTTTGTGTATTATCATCTCAGTCAATAGATAAAGGAATTTAATTTGCAGCCTAGAACTATTTAAGGTTTGAAAAGTATGCCTAAGGCCATATGGATTGCTTGAGGCCTTTATAAATCTAATTAGAGTTTCCCCGGTCGCTATAAAGCAACTTAAAAAATAAATGATCTTTAAAATTGTTTGGATCATGTACCACAACCTTCACAAGTGAAGAATGCCATGGGATCCTCCAGCTTTCCTTCTGACCTTCCTTGTGAAATAAAGATGGGTCAAGGCATTTCTGTCAAAGCATTTTGATGGGGAATTCAACTGTTCAGAAGGCCAGCAATTTTTGTAGATGGGTTGTAAAAGCATTATTGTACATTCAATTTTTTGGTGATTTTTAAAAAATAAATACCTGTACCAACGTTCCATTTTGGGTGCTCCCAGAATTTAATTTTATTGTTTTCCTGTTTTTAAATTGTTGTAATGATGTATATTGAAAATTACCTTCTGGATTTCCTCTGAGCTAAGAAGTGATTCAGAGATAATTCTGTAAATGATCATTTTTATATCAAAACCAATTTTAAAATTGCTCGTAGCTGCATAAGTATGTTTTAACCAGCAGGGGGAGATAAATGATTATTTTATAAATCTGTTTTGAAGAATCTTAACAAACTGTAGAATTATGGCTGCTGATAATTCTCCTTTAAATTGCTAAAGACACTATCAAATGGTTTATTATGTTGCTTTTTAAATGTAACCGTTTTACTGATGGGGTATATTTGAAATTCATATATTGCCTTCTTTCCTGAAAAAGGAAAATAATATATTAGAAAGTTTCATGTATATATTTAAACCAGTCTTCAAAAGGTAAATCACTTCTGCTCATATATACTTTTAAACTGTCTTTAATTAATTTAATACAGCTTTACCAAAATTTAGACCTACATTAAATTACACCAAATTAATTTTGTCCTGATCCTTTGCACTATTTTAATTCCTCGGCTAAAAGAGCAATTCGGCAATTTTACATATAGACTCAGTTGATGTATTCAGCTGATGTATAGACTCAGTATTTTGACTGTTGCTAAATTGGATTTTCATTACAGAATGTAGTACACAGAGTTCTGTGAGCAGAATGCATCTTACTAAGAACTTAGTTATATTCTGCCAGTCTCAATCTTCCCTTTGTTTGTTTTCCCTAGCCCACAATATGAAGATCCTTCATTTCATTTTGATGGCAGTGGATATTCAGTGGTGGAGAAATCACTTCGTCCCACTGTGACCCAGATAATTCTGTTTTTCAACACTTTTTCAACTAACGGACTCTTAGTATACCTGGCTTCCAATGGCACAGTAAGGAGATCATCCCAATTTATCAAAAAAGATATAATCAGTTCCATAAACTACATTGGGGCTGTTTTTTGATAAGTAACTAAATAAAAATGAATACATTCATCACTATGCTCTATATATTTATTAGATTTTTATCTTGCCTTTATTACTTTATAAGTCATTCAAGGCAATGAACATACTCCTTTCTCCTCCCCTTTATTTTCCCTACAACAATGACCCTGTGAGGTAGGTGGGTCTAAGAGAGAGTGACTGGCCCAAAGTTACCCAGCCAGCTTTCATGCCTAATGCCTTATAAGAATGGCATAGCGGTACAGTGTGTTACATGCATAGCATTCTCATAAAAATGAACGGGATTTGATTGTCCAGTAATTTGCATCAAGATAATGTATGTAACTCAGTCTGAGTTTTCAAATGAAATACAACTGTTAGAAGTTTCCAAAGTTATCTTACTTGTTGTATAGTTGAATAGTTACAGCATTAAGTGGTGGTGTATTTCCCTAACTTTTGGTTTCTTTTTCTGCAGAAGGACTTCTTGACTCTGGAGCTTGTCGATGGCAGAATTAAAGTAACTGTTGATCTTGGTTCAGGCCCCCTTACACTTAAAACAGAAAACCGCTACAATAATGGAACATGGTATAAACTTTCATTCAGACGAAACAAAAAAGAAGGTAAAATATGTTAGCTCAATCCAGACATAGCTGAGTGTGTTTGTCCTGGACATTGATTTTAATTATAAAATTAAAACGATAGGGCTATGAAAATTAGGCACAATCCCTGTACTGCTTTGATTGAAGAATCAGAGGTATCATGTTTTCACTGAAATGGAAGAATTAGAAGTGGCACAGAAGCATATAGCAGGACTGACCTGCTTCATCTAATTTTTCACTTCAAAACGATGGTTTATGCACATACAAGAAAGCTTTGAAAATTGGTTTTTGGTAGAAGTTTGATTTGAATGGTTTATTCAAATACTATCATATCAGTATCTGATAGTTTACAAATCTGCACACTGAAAAATAGCAACTGAAAATTCACAGAAAGGTGAATTAGGATGATGCTCTTTAATGGATTCTGCATGAGCTTCTAATACTGTGTTTCCCCCCAAAAATGCGACCTACGCCAAAAGTAAGTCCTTGTTTGATTTTTACATGTGTGCTGCATATAAGCCCTACCCCCCCAAAATAAGCCCTAATTAAGACCCCACCCCACTCCAGGGTGCACAGGTAAAAATTAAGCTAGGGTGGGGACGGGCGGTGGAGCTACCCTACTACTTACCTTCGGACAGTTGCAGTCAGGCCTTGAACCCCCCAACACCTGCCTTGCCGGCCCATTTCTTCTGTAGCTGACAAGGCCAGCAAGGCTTTCCTGAAGGCCTCTGCAGCTGATAACAGAGCTCTGGATCGGCTGCAGAGACCTTCAGGAAAGCCTTGCCAGCCACAGAAAAAGTTCCTGAAGGCATCTGACAGCAAAAAGGAGGCTGGGGGTGACGCACGCAAGTGAGGTGAGTCAATGGATGACATTGCCCCCAACAATAGGACTTGGTGCCTTTTTTGGTGGTAAGTGTGTGTGTGTGTATGTTTTCGTAGATTTTCACGGTTACAGGTATGTAGGTCTAAGTGTGTTCAGGTCTTTTCCCGTGTAAGATTAAGAGTATCTTGGCGACGTTTCAGTGAGGTCCCACTCGCCATCCTCAGGCTGGTGCTTTCGGCTTTGTGCCAGTGCTACCTAAATGCACAATCCCATCACCACCCTGCACAGATCAACTCCGTAGCCAAGACCCTCATCTCCAGAACCAAGACCACCTGAGAACAGAACTGCACACCCTCACTAATGTATTAATTTCCAACGGATTCCAAAGAAACACTATCACCAATCTAATCTGAAAAGAGATACCCCCAAAAAACCAAGACACAGAACAAGACAACGGTATCGCACTCCTCCCCTACTTCAAAGGCACCACAGACAAAATCAGCAAAATTCTCCACAAACACAATATCAGGACAGCCTTCAGCACTGACCAAAAAATAGCCAACATCCTAAGAAACCTCAAAGACAAGATCCCGCTAGAAAACCAAGGAGTTTATGAAATACCATGCAACAATTGCCCAGCCACATACATTGGACAAACCAACAGGAGAATAAATGCACGCATCGCAGAACACAAAACACAGTCAGAAGAGAAGAAAATACTTCCTCCCTCTTTCAGCACCTTAAAGCCACAGGACATTAAATTAATTTCAAAGGAACCAAATTAATATCCAACACTGAACACTCCAGCAAGAGAATAATCAGGGAAGCCATCGAGATAGAGAAACACCCCCATAACATGAATAGACGGGATGATACCTCCCGCCTACCAGACATCTGGAAGCTAGCCCTCACCAACAAACAAGTCCCAGCCATGAAAACCAACACCAGACCTAAAACAACATGGGACACCACTGCCAATCCCCCTCATCAGACCCAGGCCCAAGCCCATCCTATAAATGAAGGACAACCACCATCCAGAAAACAGACCACGGCTGCTTTGCCAGCTGTCACACCCCCTGACCCCAAAACCAAACAAGCTGACACACGCCAAGAACACAGACCCAGACCCCAAACTCGAAGCCAGACTAAAACCCAGAATGCTACATCACAGCCACCCGCTCAGGATATCACATCAGAAAACCCAGGAAATTACACTACAAGAACTCAAGAAGGTGCAACACAGCAAATGACCCAGGATATCACAGCACAAGACCAAGGATACTACAGCAATAAATCTCACAAGGTCATCACACAACCCATTACCCAAGCCGTTACTACACAGGAGGCTAATGGAAAAGAGATCAAAACACAAACGACCCAGGAGATTACAACGCAGGACCCAGGATATCACAACAAAAGAACTCGCAAGCCCATCACACAACCCATTACCCAAGCTGTTAAAACACGAGAGGCTAATGGAAAAAAGATCACTGCAAAACAAACAACCCAGGAGATTACAACACAAGATCCAGGATATCTCCACAACAAAACTCACAAGGCCATCACACAGCCCATTATACCAACATCAACTCCATCAACCAATCAAGAGGCAGCAGCGCAGCCAACCAGCCCAGCACACCAGCCCCCACCACCAGTATTTATAGTGAGATGGCAGCTCCGATCACACACTGCTTGCACTGGCATGAAACCGAAAGCACCAGCCTGAGGATGGCGAGTCGGACCTCGCCGAAACGTTGCCAAGATACTCTTAATCTTATACGGGAAAAGACCCGAACACATCTAGACCTATATATACCGTATATGTATATATGCTGTATATGTATATGTGTGTATATAAAGACAGGGTCTTATTTTTGGGGAAACACAGGTATTTAAGAATTATCTTAATTAGATGGAACATCTTTGTATCAGTTTAATAATGAATAGAGATGAGGCTGAAAAAAGCAAAGCCTTTATAAAGCAAAATTATTCCACTCTCAAGAGTTGGTTGATTATCTTGACACACACAAAAAAATTGAAGTTGCCACTTTTCCAAGTATTACCTGATAAAACTAGGTAGACCCTAGGCAGATATTAAATAATGTGGCATTTCTCTAACATTTTGAGATCAGATCACATTGGGTTACCTGAAAGCCATTCCTCCTAAAATAAACCTTTTTATTTTCTAAACTTTCAACTGTCGAATAGCGAAGGGTAGATTGTTTTCTTGCTCTTTTGTTTAAATTGAAATGTGCTGTAAATGTACTGTCTGAAATAACATGTATATTGTATGCTTCGTATTTCTACTATATGTGAATGGGGTTTAAATGATCTTAATGACTAACAAAACAATGTATTGTTATTTACATTTTCTGCAATGTTTGTTTAAATAGAAATTCCTGAATTCTTACAAACTATTTGCTAACTTCAGACATTTCTTTTATCTTTCAGGGATTTTGGCAGTCATGGATGCTTACAGCCTCAATTCTAAAGAAATCAAGCAAGGAGAATCCTCTGGTGTAGCCTCTGACTTGAATCGTTCTGATAAAGACCCAATTTACATTGGAGGATTACCAAGGTCAAGGACAGTAAGGTACAATTAACCATGTTCAAGGAAAATCCTTAAGAGTAGTTGCACAAAATGTTCTCAACTATTCTGTGCATGCTAACTTCTCGTACCCAAACGTGCTGTCAGATGGTGCTCCATTCAAAATCCAAGAAAGAAATACTTAGACTCCATTAATTAGAGAAAAGATATCTTTTACTGGAAGTCAAGTGGTAGCAACAAAAGAATTCTGAATCTGAGAAAATGAGCGCACAAATCACATATACAAAGTGATGGCAAGTTCCCACCCCTAATAGTTGAATTGGCTCATCCAATTAAAAGTTGTGTCATGTGGGCATCTCCAGGTGGTGATGAGGCCTCTGTCCGTTGACCTTGACATATTTTGATAAAGTGTTGCGGCTCTGTATAGCATAGGATAGAAGCCTAAGCAAAAATCTCTCCCCCCCCAACTTATACAGTTCTGTTTTGTAACACCTCCAGCTCGCTTCCCATAACCATGTCCCCCCTCCTCCCCCCGTTACTTATGACAGCCAAAAGATGCAAAGCAAAGGAAGAAAATCTTGAAGGCTGACACGTGCTTTTTCAAGAGGCAACTAAACTGTGATATTTCGCTTTCATCCAAGAAGCTTCTTCAATTCTTCTTCTCATCCAAGAGCTAAAGAAGCTTCTTGGATGAGAAGTGAAATATCAAAGTCCAGTTGCCTCTTGAAAAAGTACCTTTGGGACAGCTATAACCTGGATGACTGAGAACCTCTGATTTCTCGAAAGCAATGCAAGGACCAATGGGTGGACAGTGTACAGGAAAAATCTGAGATAACAAATAGAGAAGCTTTTGCCTTGAGTCCAAGGACAGCATATCCAACTAATCCTCCTACTCCCTGGCAAACTTCTGTCTACTTTTCTGTATATAAAACCAATTATATCTCTGACAGCACTAAATGGAGGTAGAGAAAGGGAGTCTCTGAGAAGACTGATGGGCCATGCTGAGGAGGAGAATAGAAAGACTAAAGTATACTAGTCTTGCAATATTCATCCCTAATATTCACTAAGTTGACATTTAACTAAAATCTGGAATTCTGAGCCAATCCAAAATGTTAGGCATAATTCCAAGATATGTATTTCCGGTACATATTTTCAGTTTTGAGTGTACTTCTATTGAACTTGCATATGGCCCTAAATATAGTGGATGTAGCTCTAATAAAAACTGGTTACCCTCTTGCCATTTCAGCAAGGTATATAAAACCCGTTATATTGCTTGGACACAAATTATGTGTATAACTGACTTATTTCAGACAATCAGTCTTAGATTTTTAGTGAGGCACTTCTTGCCTACTATAAATATGCTTGATGTCAACTATTATCTGTGTTTATTCCCAATAGTGGTCTATATAGAACAATTTCCTTTTGGAGTCATGGAGGGTACCTTCGTTCAGATTTTCTTGGAAATATATACTTTGAAACACAGATTTTAAGTGAACAAACAGTATCCATCATATTGTGAGGGTTTTTTTTAAAAAAAAATGCTTACAACCCCTCACTTTCATGGAGGGATACACTCACTGTTTGTCTTTTGATCAGAGATTTCTTAAGGCATGAGGAAAAAGAATTCATGGAGGGGAAACGAGATAAGCCTACCATCTGATAACTTTCATTTCTGTCTCTTCGTATTGGAAGAGAATTGCCTGAGCACCTGCCAACCCTGATTACATAGATCAAGGTTCCTCACTGGTTCAGATACTAACTTTATTCAGCCATTCTCACTTCAGACCTTCTCCATAAAATGAGAAAATTGGAGGGGAAGGGCCACACTGTGGTTCATTTGCTTCCCTTCCCTTATACCTTAGACTCCAACAACAACAACAACAACAAAAAGTACAAATAACTAATAACAGTTTTAGTCATCAAATTCATCATAGGAGTTTAGAACACAAGGGTTGCCAACATCAAATGGAAAGAAAAGCTTCTTATTGTGCTTTGTGGGGGTTTTTGTTTTTGAAATATTGTTATATTTTGTAATTGATGTAGTCTCTGGGTATTGTTGAAAACGTGTTGATTTGTCAGAAGTTAATTACGCAGTGACTCCATCCTGACTTTTATGAAGAATTCAGTATTTTGTTCAATTTTAGCAGCTCAGTATTTCCCTTTATTAGGAAAGGGGTTCATAGCAGAACATTTGTGGGATGCATGAAGAACTTGGAAATATCCCGATCTACTTTTGACTTGCTTAAAAATTCATACGGTGTGAGAAAAGGCTGCATCCTAGAGGTAAGACATACTAACAGTTCTGTTCGTTAGATTTAAGCTGTTTGCTACTGAGAAATGAATTAATAATACATGATGACTTTATAATGACTAGCATGTTGACTGTTAAATAATCAAAAGCTGTGGTTTTTTAAAATTTAAAGTGATGTATTGACTGATTGTTCCTTTCCTTTTGCAATTTAGCCTATACGCAGCGCTAATATCTTACATAATGGCTACATTGAGTTGCCACCCAAACACCTTTTGGTGGAATCTGAACTTATGGCTACTTTTGCTACAAAGAACTCCAGTGGAATCATTCTTGTGGGGCTTAGCAAAGGTGAAGCAAAACGAAGACGCAGACAAGTCCATCTTGTGAGTACCCAGTCATCTTTAATTTTACGCTTTTAATTATTTCTGGAATGGATCTTGAGTAATCTCTAAAAGGGCTGCTGTTTAGACTGGAAAAAAAATCACAGACCATCTTGGCAAGCCAGTTCTGCATTATTGCCAAGAAAATAGAAGCCTGTGAAGTCACTAGACCTTGAGTTCAGTTCAGAGGAAATACAGATGTTTATCATCAGCTGTTAGATTAAAGGTTAGGGTGGCATTATAGAAATAAGGATGCTCACATATGGGAGTGTTTTCGTTTGAATTCTGCAAATAAAATTGGGTTGGTCAGCACAATAAACATGTAAACTTTGAGGACATTTTGAGACAATGAAGGGAGCTTTCCCTTTTCTGTTAAAAACTGGATTGAGTAGAAGAGTGCACACCACTACGGCAAGTAGGTAGTCCTCCTACAGCCATTTGTTCAGTGACCTTTTGAAGTTGGAATGGTCTTTACCGACTGGTTGCAGCACCCGGCAATCATGTGATTGCCATTTGCAACCTTCCCTGCCGACTTCCAGAAAGTCAGTGGGGAAGCTAGCAGGGAAGGTCACAAATTGCTGGTGTAAGTCTCCCCCACCCATGCTTTCTCCCTGAGTCCCTTTGTATCATACTGCACCACTCATTTGTACACCCCTGCACATAATTTCCATTCCCCACCATATCTTTGTACACCCTCCCTGTTCTGTCTGCATATCCTCCCTGACCTTGTACACCCTCTTTGACCTGTGCTGCATTCTTGTGCATCCTCCCCGACCTACAACCTTTGTAAAACCTCCCTGACCCTTGTTGTATTGTGTCCTCTACGTTGGTTGTGGGAAACCGGCAGGAAGTTTCATTGCTGAATGACTGGGATTTGGATAACGACAACAACTTGGGACTACAAGGATTGGAATTGCTAAGCAATGTGTCTGCATTTATCACCATATGGCTTAGCAATGCACTTAGACTTATATATCACTTCACAGTGTTTGACAGCGTCCCCCTAAGCAGTTTGCAGAGTCAGCCTATTGCCCCCAACAATCTGGGTCCTCATTTTACTGACCTCGGAAGGATGGAAGGCTGAGTCAACCTTGAGCTGGTTGAGACTCGAACTGCCAAACAGTTGGCAGCCGTCAATCAGCTGCAGTACTACATTCTAGCCATTGCACCACCATGGCTTAGCAAATTCTAGTTCCAATTGCTGTCATAAGTTGAGGCCTACCCACATAGTTTTGTGTCAAACCCATTCTCCCAAAAATAAAATAATAAAATAAAATTCCAAGACAGACAGAGGAAAAAAGAGAGATGTCCTTCCCCTTTCCCCACTTTCCACATTTTAACAACATGCCTAGCAATAATGGAACGGTTTTTTTTTTCTCTATTCCTTGTAGCCCTTTTTCTCCATCATGCTAGTGAATGGTCACTTGGCTGTGCAGGTCCTTGCTGGTGACCGAGCAAGTGCAAAAAGGGTCATGGTCAAGTCTAATAATGGAACTTACAGTGATGGAAAAGAACATTCTGTTATCCTTACTCGGAATAAGAGGTACAAGCTGAAGTACCAGTTTAATTACCATTTATGCTACCTACTATGTTGTCTAAAGAACTAACTTGCATTATTTCAGAAAAATAATCACATTTACAGTTTCCTGCTGTTCAGGGCAGTTCAGTTTCCTGTGTTAATTATATTTTGTATCCAGCTACTGATTAAAATGTGTGTGATTATTCCCATTATAATTTGTAGATGCTTTGACTTCCAAAAGCAATGTTACCAAATATTTGTAGAACATAAGACAACTTTAAGATGTCTATGCTAAGAAGCCTTCAGGTCTTATATATTAAAAAAAGCCTACAAGATAAATTAATCAGAAAGTCATTAGAAAGTCTGATGTTTCATAGTAGCAAGTCTCCAAATATGTCGGAGAACCAAATTTATGCTCTAGTTATTCAGAGTGGATTATAAAATTTACTCGATTTCTCTTCCTTGAAATTATTCTCTTGAAAAAAAAAATGTTACTGAATATTATTTCTCTCTGTTTTCTCCCCACTTCTTTTGCTGCCCAGAATAATAAGTGTGCAAGTGGATGAAAGTAAACCTGAAGAAATTAGACTTGGACTCATGGCAGAAAGCAGACCAATTAATATATCAAAGCTCTTCGTTGGTGGAATTCCTGCCGAAGAAAGCATTTCAGGATTAATGATGATGGATTCTTTCTATGGTTGTATAGCTAATGTGATATTTAATACCGAGTAAGTTATCATCCTGGTTGTTCCAAAGGTGCTTTTTCCAAAAGGTGATTGAATTTTCTTGGGTTTTTTTCTTTGAAAACCCTTCGCTTCTCATCCAAGAAGCTTTTTTAGTTCTAAAGAATATATATTTCATATAAGTTATTTAATTAACTAATGGATGAAAAGTTACATTATTTTTTTTTAAATAATCTTTGTTTCAGTTTTACTATGCTATCTCCGTGGTAGAGAAGGATTCCTTTATTTATTGAAGGGCATCATTTACTATTTTTACCATGATATGATAGTTCTTCTTTTATTTTAAACCAGAATATCTTGTCTGCTAAATGTCACAGAAGATTAAACTAAAACCACTTAACAGGCACAGAATAATCCAGAAACTCTGATGCAGAGTTTTATGTAGAAAAGCCAAGAACCCATTATTAAAGAATTTCAAATATTCCTGAGTATCAAGTGCCAGTCTATTTATAGTGAAACAGTGTTGGAATTCTTGTTTCTCTTTTTCCTGCCTAAAATGCAATTGGCTGGCTGGCCCTCTCTTTTAGGCAGAAGGTCTGATTGCCATGTCTTTTGCTTTATTAATGGATAGATTTGGTTTTAAATTGTTCTCCTTTGTCCATATATAGAACTGATTTTCACACCAAATATATCTAAGTTGTTCAGTGGGATAGGAAAGAATATCATGCTTAGCTGGATAATTTTTGGTCTACAGACATTGAGACTATTCTGTAACTATTGACTACAATAGAAGATGTCACTTATATGGAACATGATAGCAAGTAAGATCTGTAGATATATAACATGGAAATCATGGAATTACACAGTGTTGGATTGGAGTAAACATGATTAATTCTTTAGCATTTCACATCAAAGATATGTGAGAAAAGTAGCTATCACTTGATAAATATTTTTGCGTTCTTAGTTTTCAGCTGAAAATAATTCATGTTTCTTGCAATTTGTTTCTTCTTTCCTTCCCTTCCTTTAAAAAAAATACAGATTTCTGGATTTCACCACTGCAGTAAGGTATGAAGGTGTTGATATGGACAGCTGCTTTCCTTCAGATAAATCTAAGCCTGTTATTCAACCAGAAGACTTTGAAATCCGATCTGAAATACAGATGCTGCCAAGTTCTCTAAAGTCTTTTTCACAAGCTAAGGAAGTATGTTATGATGGTTATATCTGTGCTTATGATCATAATTAAGCTGGGAAAGAAAATTTTCTTTTTTTATTTTCCAATTTCAATTTCATAATTCATCTCTTTGCCACAGGTAAATCATAAAGCCACTTTGTTATAGGTTCTTTTAACTATGCCCAATTTGGTGGGCTCAAGACACAAAAAGAGTTAAGAACAACACAGGTGCCTAGACAACAAACACAAGTATACATAGTACTTGCGTACTATTACTCACTACTCTCCATTACTTATTCTTCCTCAGTATTGCTCCTTGGGAGTACTGCTAGGGAGAAAAAAATCGCTTTCTCTTTCTCGCTGCTTTCTGCTAGTTTACTTCCCTACAAACAACACACATAACTCCTTCTCTCTCCCTCTCTCAATTCTTTTACAATACATCTTTTATAGGCAGCTTTGCTGTACTGCTACTGGTGAGAAAGCTTAAAGAGAAGGAAAGAAAAAAGCACAGGTGCTGGCAATTTTCTGGGCGCCTGCTCTCTCACAGGGCAATTTATTAAATACAAGGGAAAGTAATCCTATTAACCATATGGAATTAATTCATTTACTTTTCATTAAATATACACATAAATAAAATCAATTTTATTTTTATTTGGTTTTTATCTGATTTCTGAATGTTAGTGTGTGTTTTTGCAACTGTATTACTGGATCAATAAGTATAATTTTATATAAATTTAGATATAAATAATTTCAATTATGTGTCATTGTAATCATAGAGGTAAAAATGATAGAAGCTATTCTGTACTTGGTTCTGCTGCAGATTGTCTTGAATGTAGGTCTAGTTTTTCTTTTAAACATGAGGATATTTCACAAATTCAGTTCTTTTGATCATCAAAATGAGAAAGTACCACTGTGCTGCTCTCTACCATAGTCTCCTACAAAAACTTGGAGCAAGTTCCCTGATTTCCAATTAGCACGGCTTATTACTGGAATTGTAAGAAGTAAGATAACCATTTTGGTGTAGTGGTTAAGGCACCAGACTATATACCAGGGGACTGTGTGTTCTACTCCCACCTTAGGTATGAAAGCTGACTAGGTGACTCCCTCTGTCTGTCTGGGAATTCAACCCACCTCACAGGAAAGACATGAAAATGGCCCTTTGTTTTTTTAAAAAAATAATGCTACCACAGTTGCCTGAAGAGATAAAAATCAGGCTTCTGTTGTCTTGGATTCTGATAATTTGAACATGAAATTTGTATGTAGTTTGGGGTATCATCAATATTCAGTAAAACAAGAGAATGAGTATTGAATGGAGAATTAGTTCATTTACCTCAGTTATTCTGTTTACAGAAACAGTGTTCAGAAAATGGAGAGCTGAAGTATGTTTCCAATGCCCATCAGTTTGGCGTTACCAGAAACAGCCATTTAATGCTACTTTTCAATCAGTCTACAGTAAGAAAAAAGTAGGTATATCTTTAATTCTAACAGGAATTCTAAACTTAAAAAGTTCAATGATCTTTCTCATAGCTTTTTAAAGAAATAAAAGTTATTTCCATTACAATAGACAAAAATTTTAAATGCAAATTGGAATATTGTACAGTTTACTATAACTCCTTTTCCTTAGTTTCTGACTATTTTATTTTCTTCCCAATGGATTTCTTCGTGTGTAATAGCTGCCTAGAATTTTATCTTTCTGTATTCTTCTACAGTAATTATTCACCTATTTACTATCCTGTAACACTCTGAAAATGGAAGTATTTTCATTTATGTCTACTCCAGTTAATGTTAGAGGAATTTCCCATTAGAGGGAACTAGAAACCAGTGGAAAGTTGCCAGTATTATCTGTAATGCCACTGCAGGGCATCTGCCAACCTTCCAGAATAGCATAGGTGATACTATTTAGACTTGGAGGAAGAAGGCTCACAGAATATTTGAACCAAATATCCTTGCAGGATCTACTTTCATTAAGATGGTGAAAGTGGTCTTGTACCATTATGCCATAAACTCTGCCCTTTTCGTATTTGTTTGCAGTGTAATAAGCCACACAATAAAGTGACAGGGTTTGAACTACAACAAAGCAGCACAGCTTTCATCAATTAGTTTATCTTGCTTCCTTTGGAATGCTTCTCTGCCGAACATAGCAACAGCAATAGCATTTAGATTTATATACCACTTCAGAGTGCTTTACAGCCCTCTCTAAGTGGTTTACAGGGTCAGCATATTGCCCCCAACAATCTGGATCCTCATTTTACTGACCTAGGGATGAATGATTAAAGGCTGAGTCAACTTTGAGCTGGTGAGGATCAAATTCCTGCCAGTTAGCATAATTAGCCTGCAATATTGCGCTGAACCACCTCAACATGCTTGAATGACAACAATTTACTAAACTTGTATGCCACCTGACTCTTTACATCTCTGGGTAGCTCACAACAGTCCAGCCTAGAATATTTATTGAATTTAACATTATTTTCTGTCTTTCAAAAGAAAAGATGCTGTTTTCAATGGACTTCACATGATGTATTGAAATGTCCAAACTTTGATCAGATCCATATCTTATTTTGTAGGTTTTCTGTTCAATTAAGAGTCAGGACCCTTGCTTCTAGTGGCCTAATATACTACACAGCTCATCAGAAGCAAGTTGATTATGCAGCCCTTCAACTCCAAGAAGGAAAGCTTCGTTTTTCATTTGATCTTGGAAAAGGACAGTCGGTAGTTTCTCATGGAGCAATGATCAGCGATGGAAAATGGCATACGGTACATTTCTTAAATTCTTGTATTCAACTGCCCAGATACATAAATGTTTTGTTATATTTAACGCCTAAGGGGGGGAAATGTTGCATTAGGTACACAATAGTTTTTGCATTTGACATATTTGGTTGATATATTTAAAATCCCGAACAACTGTGAAACAAGAATATAAATTTCTGCTGGTCACAAATACATATATGGAATACTATTCTTAGTTGCATGTTTCTTAACTATGAACAACTGTTCACAATTAATGTATCTTACCTTACAGGTGGAAACAGATTATGCTAAGAGGAAAGGTATAATCATAGTTGATGGGCAGGCTACTGAAGCGGTCAATGTTTCAGGTGACGGAAACACCTTGGATGTGGATGGGAAATTGTACTTGGGGGGTCTACCCTTAGGTTACCTTACAAAGAACGTTAGAAATGTAAGGACTTTACTTTCTTATTGATCCTTTGTGTGCCAGGTATATCATATCAGACTATATTCCATGTCAATGTTCTGCTGATCTGAGGAAGTGCTGTAATTCCACTGGGGTGTGAAGTTTTTGTAGGGTGGTGTGTTTTGTATATAAATCAGCTCACATCAGCTCTAGAAGAAACATTGTGAAGATAATTTTGCATCTCCTCTGGTGGGCAACTGGTTATTTCCATTGATAGGACTTGTGCCATATTTAGGCTCCAGTACTTTCCCTCCTTAATGTTGTCTTGCTCAATCCAAGGGATTTCTCTGTATATATCTTTTGCAAACACAGCAAGGCACTGGAGGGAAGGGGCTGATTCATTTCCCTCTGCCATTAGCCAAGTTGGGAGGATGGGAGTGAGTTCTGAACTATTCAGATGACTCTCAATAGCTAGAATTGAGGGCAATTGTGCCAGTTCAAAATTAATTGGGAGACTAGTGAAGTGTAAAATAGTGGTTGTTATTAGTTATGTGGAAGTTTCATAGGAAGGATAGGAACTGTTGTTTACCATGAGCTGTCAAGTGATAACATACAGAGTGATTTAGGAAATGAATTCCCACTGTAATATATTTGAATTGATTCTGGGTAATGCTGATAATAGGTTCATTTTCTTACATGCTATTTTGCTATTTTATACTTGCTTATCCACATTTGATCTGAAATATTCCAGTTCCTCTGTTTGCATTTTATGTCAAATAATAGGACTGGTTTTTGTTTTTGTTTTACTAAATTTGTTAAAAGATATCAAACATGTCTGTATCTGAAACAGCATGTTCAGCTTCTCCAGTAACCATAATAAGCAGGCTCACGGTCATAGCCATAACAATAGCAGTATTAAATTGCACTCTATGGAAAGAAACTATTTTAAACTGGAAAACAGATGGATTCCCCAACATTTTTTCAAAATAAAACAACTCTTGTAAGTCAGATTTTGATCTCCACAGCGGTAATGGAAAAGAGCAGATTAATCTTTTGCTGCACTGTTTTTCTATCCTAAATCTTCTCCTTCTTCCAAGTAACTATTCAGATTTACAACAGAAAAAAACATTGTTGTTTAGACTGCATCTGTTTTCCCCACAAGTTGTTCCAGATAGATGAAAGCAAGACTCAGACCGACAGGGCAAGGTCAGCAGCATAGAAAAATGGCTGGGTGGATGACCGCTGATCATAGATTTTCTGTATCCTATCTTATTTCCCTCATAAAATGCAAAGGTGTACCTGCTGTATTTATTATAGTTCAGCTCTCTTTCCCTGCCCCGAATCTAAGATTTCCCAGTCTCTGGGCTGTGGCCCACTACACTATTTAGAATTGGGCCACACGAGTGGCTGGCTGGAGTGCATGCACACACACAGCTCAGTCTGTGCAGTGGGCTGGCAGGCAATCGTGCAAGTCGAGCTGCATGCACATGCATTGGCTCGCTGCTCATGCAACTTGAGCAGCATGCACATGCGCTGATCTGCCGTTTGCACAGCCCAGTTCCCTCTCCCCTCCCTCTCCCAGCCAGGCCACCAAGCTGCAAAGGGACCTATGTGAAAACAAAAAGCTATATAAAATGATGTGCAAATTTACCACAAAATTTGAGTGACTTCCTCTAATAGATGTCTGAATTTCTCAATGATTTAATAATTATAAAGTAGCAAGGCTCTGAATGGTACATCTCTGTGGGTAATAACAGATGTCTGTATTATACACATTTTCTATAGCAATGGTTCTTAAGCTTAGACACTTTAAGACAAGTATGCTGGCTGGGGAATTCTAGGAATTGAAGTGCACAAGTCTTGAGGTTGCTAAGATTCAGAAACACCGTTCTACAGGAGTAACTACACTACCAAATTGTCTTTGCAGATTACTCGCAGCATTCCTGCATGCATTAGTGAAGTAACCATTAATAGCAAGCAATTAGATAGTCTGGTCTCAACTTTTGCTGTGAATAAGTGTTATGCTACAATCCAGAAAGGAACTTACTTTGATGGAAGTGGTTTTGCTGCTCTTGGTAAGCAAAGTATTATTTTATTCCCCCTCCCAATATAGGTGTAAAATGAAATATAGAAAATATCCAATAACATTAAATGTATTCCTCTTGTTCTTTTATCTCCAATTCTGTGTTATTGTAGCTGCTGGTAGTGGGTAAGAATCATATAATTTCCTTTACTCAGAAATAGAATGGCTTCATTGAAGAACAAGGAAATCTCTGTATTGCAGACAACTTCTGTTTCCAATAAAGCCAACCCACTTGTCTAGTTCAAGGAGAGACTTAAAGTGAGCACACATTCCCACCTAGATAGCTGTGTTTTTTACAGTAACTTTCATGTATAAAAGATAAGTAGGAAATTCTTTAAAATGGAGGCCTATCATTTTCTGTAAACTGCTAAGTGAATTGTCATTTAAACAGAGCTTTAGTTTTGAAGTTGGACTAGTGTAACTTTTTGCAGATGGTTCAAGAAGCTCTTATTTTTATATTTATCCTTTATGTCTTTATTGTTGTTTTGGTCAAATGATCATTCGATTGGATAATTCCTGGTCTGCTCACTTGGTCAGGATCGCTTTCGAGCAGAACTATTTGTGGTATACAGTATTAAGCATTTCTATTAGACAGGCTTCTAGTGCAAGAAAAGGGAAGCATTGTCTTTGGAGCACAAACCAAGATATGTTAGATTTATGGTTTCCATGCAACATATGGACACCATGCAATATGGAGGTCTAATTAATATGGATTGGGCGTGCAATGTAATGTATTATTTTATTCTAAACCTTTTCTCAAAATTATTTGGGTCTTCTGATAATGTCAGTTATAGACAACAATTCTCTAACTTCATTATTTCACTCTCTCTTTTGCAGTTAGGGAAGGCTATAAAGTCAGATCTGAAATTAACATTACTTTTGAATTCCGTACGAATGTTGTGAATGGAGTACTTCTTGGAATCAGTAGTGCTAAAATAGATGCCATTGGACTGGAGATTGTAAATGGAAAGGTAGGTTTTGAAATGGATATACTGCAATAAATTTGCCCTAATAAATATTAAGTGGTACCTAAACTGATGGATCTGAATATATATAAGAAATATGCATTTTTTGAGAGAAAAGCTGTGGCAATTATTAATATATAATAATTATTCTGGAATTAATATGTTTTAATGATCTCTAAAACATATCTGGTTATGCTATAGCAATAGAATTTTTTTATTCTGAAAACTAGCTTTAGATTATTAAGCCAATTGCAATTTTCTATTTATACATATTATACATAGGAAAACAGAAATGTTATACTAAAAGAAACAGTTCCATTGATGATGGTGTGAAAGCTCTGAAATAAAATTATGAAACAGATGAAATGATAAAAAACCAATTTGAAGGCAAATGCCTATGATTTTACAAATATATTTATAATCTTGTCTTCAGTGAAAAGTTCAGTGGTTAAAATAAAAGAAATCATGAAAAAAAAATACAAAATGCTCCCAGACCAACATTAGGAATTGTTTGAAAAAAATAATTGATATTTATTTTTGCATGGACCATACTCCAAAAATAATCATCTCTACATACACCAAGATATCACCATTCCCTATAGCAGTGATCCCCAACCTTTTTTACGCCGCGGCCCGGTACCAGCATCAGCTGGGCGCCGCGGCCCGGTACCGGCATCAGCTGGGTGCCGCCATCTTTTTTTGATGAAAAAGTGCTTCCGGTGACCTCACCGGAAGCACTTTTTCATCAAAAAAAGATGGCGGCGCCAGCGCTTCTGGTGAGCTTTTCCGGATAGAAATGGCTTTCTACCCGGAAAAGCTCACCGGAAGCACTTTTTCATCAAAAAAAGATGGCGGCGCCCAGCAAGCCAGCGGCCCGGTAGGACTTGTTCCGCGGACCGGTCCCGGTCCACAGACCAGTGGTTGGAGACCCCTGCCCTATAATATCAAAGGAAGTCTCCACATTTCCCCCTTTTCAGAATCTCTTATGAAAGTTGGTCCAAACTATAGTTAACCATTTTAATCAATTACTGGACAGCAGAAACTAACATTAAAGCTTTCAGGGAAGATACATAGTCAGTGTATGTCTCTTAAAGCTTGTCTGTGCTTCACCATTGTACTTAGAAATGTATCTATCATAAGTTATCAAGGGTGGTGGTGGTGGTGGAGAAATGATTGTAATGTAAAACAAATCTTTCAAAATAGAAATAGGACACATTGAATTAGTTGTTTCTTGGCAAAATGCAAAGCTAAGAAAGTTATATTAAATGAATATTGATTTAATAATTACCCAATCTCCCAGCAGTTATGAAAATGTATTGGATTAAAAGAACCATCTTCTAGCTCTCCATTTGGCTGTTTGGTTGTGATTTATTTTGTTTTTGTAGATTTTATTCAATGTCAATAATGGAGCTGGCAGAATAAAGGCTTCCTATGAACCAAAAGGAATGACTAATCTGTGTGATGGACAGTGGCATAAAGTGCAGGCTATGAAAAACAAGCATCATATTGCTCTAATAGTCGATGGAAATGTGGTTCAGACTGATAATCCACATGTTCATTCAACCTCTGCAGATACAAATAACCCCATTTATGTTGGAGGGTATCCTGGTATGTAATTTTACTCCTATTCAAAGCAAAGCAAGAAAAAATCTTGACTTAATCTTGATTTCTTGTATATTTTTCCGAGTAATCAATGTAAAAACAGTGAGCCGTATAAAGTTAATTCTCTGAAACATGAAGACTATTAAAACATCAGTGTCCATTTATCAAATGTTTCTGGTTTTGTTCCTTTTCTTATAGCTTTATACCTCAGGCCGCCAGAGAATCTGTCTGAACACAATCCTGGGCTCAGACACCCATCTAGCCCTTAAGAATTATTTATTCACTGATTTAATAATAATATAATAATTACTCTTATGGTTACAGACCAGCATTTTTATTCACTGATTATATGATCAACAGGGTTCCCTTTATTGCATGAAGCTACCATATACAAATTAGATTGATTGAAGGAATTATTGCATGCTCTAACTTGGCAATTTATCTTCAATTATTGCTTCCAAGATTTACATGCAGTGTCATCCACACAGTAAACATGCCTCCTTTCATTTGTTTTCCAGCTGACATAAAACAAAATTGCTTGACCACTAAGAATTCCTTCCAAGGATGTTTGAGAAACTTTATGCTGATTAAAGCCCAGCAAGCAGATTTCTTGGACTTCAGCGAAGCCTTTGACCTGAGTGGAGTTTTTCCACATTCCTGCCCTGCAGCCTGACTACTAAATGGGAGGAAAAATGTTCCATTTTAAGAGGCTTTGTCTATGAACTCTTAATGAAAAAGAAATGCTTTTAATGATAATACTGATTTACGCTATTTCCCTCTTACTTTTCCAGCTCAAGAAAAATATGTTTTTAGCTAGAATATCTACACATTTTTAAAAATTAAAGAAAACACTACATTTTCTGAAACTGTCTTTTATGGTTGGTGAAAGTTTTTTTAAAATCAGTATTTACAATAAACCTTTTGTTAATTATTTAACCTTTATTACTTTGGCATATATGGGTCTATTTATAGTAAATATGCAATATAAAGTCCTATTCAACAAACAATTCATTTTAAGTATGAAAAATAATTCAGCATACATTTAGAGATGAAAACAAATTAGTAGGAAGCTAATTTTCAACAAATTTTGCTCATAACTTTCTTTTATCCCTAATTACTGCTAAAATTGGTGCAGTTAAAATAGAAGCTGATTAACCTCAGACACATTTTCTCTAACACATTTAGCAAAACACAGGTAACTACTGGTGAAATCTTTACTGATGCTACCGCTGATACTGTATTTAGCTTAGGGGGAAAAATTAACGAGTGGTATAAATTGGAATAGTTACATACAAGTGTTGGCAAGTTTCCCCAATTTTGTTATCAGCCCAGAGTTACAAAAATGTAACAAAATTGCATACATAACAAACTACATTAATATATTTAATAGATTAATGAATTTTATATGAATGTTTTAAAAATAGATGCAGTAATTGAATGGAATTAACTTTGGGTTTGGGAGGGGAACCTGAACCAAATCAAACATACCAGATTCATTTTTTTCCATAGTCTTAATTTGCATACTAAAGTGATTCAGCTGAAATTTGAAAGTTTTAAGATTTTTGCAGAACACATGTTTTGAGGGCTATTAAACAATGTTTATTTTCTACAAAGACTGCAAAACATTTCCCAAAAATTTTTTTTTTGGGGGGGGGGGAGCTTGAGTTTTGTTCTTATTTTGGGGCAAAATGCAGACATTTTGTTTCATGTTATTATTATTTTTGCTTGGGTCTTAACGTTACGTTTCTCCAGAGTTGCAGATTTGGAGAATGGATATAAGCAAAAAGTGATTCATATTTTTAGAACTGTTTTAGAACAAGAACGAGAATGTTGACTGCCCAATCAATCTATGTATTATGGTTGTAATTGTTTGCATGCTTAATTCTTGGCTTGGACACTAAGGAACACCAGGCCTGGCTAATGTTTCAACCAGAGACCACCAGGATCCCAAGGCCGTAAATTAGATTAAAAACATATTCAAGACAAAGAGACACAGGCTATTTTGATATTGTTGCTAAGGAAACTGTATGTATGTGATTTAATTTTTGAGAAAGTTTGTGTCTTGCATGTATGTATGTCCATGTATGTTCTCTGCACTGGGCCTTCCTTTTTTAGACAGATGGCTATGTGCAAAAGTGTGCTTGGATGTTTGTTAACTGCTATTTTGTTTGCAGGCAGGATTATAAAAGCAAAATGTGTGCACTCCACATGTGCATTTGGAAAAAGCCTCAAGGTCATGTACAGAGGACTGTCCCCCCCCCCCCACCTTTCAGTTAATTTATTTGTGGTCTGGGTTAATTTTTTAAAATCTTCTTTAAATCATCCTATTTACTTCCTTCCCCCCTCCTCCCACCAAAGATTGTCTTAATAGGCACACAGCACAAATCCTAACTGCACCTAATTTTGTGGTTGTTCACTGTTTAAATCTGCTGTTCTCTAAGGCCTAACACACACAAAATTCTGAAGTTTTGTTTCATTGAAACATTAAATGTTTGAATCGTGCTAGTAACTGTTCTTTGAGCAGATCTAACTTGTTCCAAGTACAAAACATTTGTTTACTGTTTGTATGACTGCTTTCTATATTGTACAGTAGGCATTAACACTGGGATTCCACTAATTTTCTATTCTACATTGGATTTTGCAGATCAGTTTGAAATATTTAAACTCATAAAATGGCCTGAACTATTGTATGATAAGCATGGGACAGAGGAGATGTTTGCATGTTCCTCTGCAGCCATCTGAACAAAAAGGTATCACATAAGGGAGAAGACTAAACAATGATTAGTCTTTGGCTTATGTTTTTCTATGCATGACATGCATGATTTGCCATGCATCAAATCAGAGTACAGTCCTATTTCTGGCACAAATATAAGGAACAAGTACCATTACCTGTATGACTGACCTAGTTGCTTAAGAATAAGTGGGGTTTATAACAGTGTATTGAACGTTATGTAAATTATATGTTTATATATCACTTTATTTTAATAGATTAAGGGAGTGTATCATTAATAAATTATTTTTAGACTATATTTTAATGCAAGATTCAATCAAATATATTAGTGGTACAATTAATTGTGGTTCGTGTTTAACACAGATTAAATACATACAGGTTAATTCTTTCTAAAACCTTTGCATTCAGTGACAATGTCTGCATTCAAACTATGAAAAATAGCCAATGGAAACAAACATTAAATTACTTGACTCAGCAGAGTACTGTTACTAGATAAGTATTTTAAGACTTTTCAAAGGGGATACATTTTTTACATTCACTTCAAATTACTTTGAGTAGAAAAACAATAAAACCAAACACCTCTGTGTGTTTTTTTCACATAGTACATTTAGATTTTATTCCACACATTCAACATTGGCTAACATCAAGATTTAGTGTCTTGAAAAGATGCAAGAACCTCAGTGGTGAATGATTAGTCGTTAACTATGATGATAGTTTCAGCAATTTAGAAGGCTGTCCTGGAAGAGAGAAAGTATCCAGAACATTAAGGACAATATTGATTTGAGTGAAACTTTTCAAAGCAACTAGAAAATTTGGCCTATTTGCTATCTTCAGACTGGCATTCATTGTATATGCCTGCTGGTATTATACTGCATTTTATTAGTCAAGAGTAAAAGGGTGGCTTCCGTTTTTCATATGTTTTTCTTGATACTGAGGCCCAATTACAAAAGGCTATCGAATGGGCACTTTTACCTGTAGGATATAAAAGATGGAAGCAGAAAAGAGGAAAAAGCAAGGAAATAAGTCTCTGCATAGAATGTTTCCCTTATGTGTTTGATAAAACATGGAACGTTGAAAGTAATGATATTTTGTAGATGCATTTTTCAAAGAATAATACAATAAAACTTTTAACTCTCCAGATCATTTTAAAAACATGTAGTCCTTGACATATGACCATCTGTTCAATGAACATTCCAAGTTACGATAGCACTGAATAAATGGTGGTTATTACTAGTCTTCTGGCCATCCCAGCATCTCCATGGTCGCATTATCGCTAACTGGGTGCTTAGCATACGATTGGTTGCCAAGCACCCTGAGATCACCTAATTACCATTTGCAAGTTTCCATGCCAGCTTCTACAGAAAGTCAAAGTGGAAGCCAGAGAAGGTTGCAAGTTAGTGGGTAAATCGACCCACCCCAGCCTGTACTCACACCATGCTGGCCACTTGTGTATCCTCATTCACCCTGCCTGTGCTGCACCTCTTGCGCAACCCCTGTACGATTTGAGCCACCAAATTACAAGCAGGTAGTAGAAGTAGCCTGCATTACTGCACTCTAACCACTGTACCATCATGGCTCTTAGACTATTATTTAGATATTCTTACATTCCGTTTTGTAGTTTATGAGAATTATAACCACACTGTTAATTACAGTTATTAAAATATAAGAAAAATATCAAAGTAACTTAATGCAGTTAAGTTATATTAACTATACCCCTTGAACTAGATCGGCAATTTCTCCCTTTTACAATGTGTTCAAATTAGTTTTGGTTTATTGAGAAACACAATGTGATTTAATAAATATTACTAAATAGTAAGAAATTATATTACAGTTTGCAAACATGCTTAACTAGGTTGAAAACTCTAAGCTGGAGTCACTTGATTGACCCAATTAACCCAGAAATATTAAAATCCAATCTGGTCTTGTTTGCTAATTTTCCTGATCTATCAACTCCCACAATATGCTGGATGTTCTGCAGTGAATAAGAAGATGCTCCAGAGGGTTATAAACATAGCACAAAAAATCATCAGTTGCTTTCTTCTTTGGAAGAGATTGTGAAGACCAGACTCCTCTCGAGAACACTAAAAATCTCCACAGACTGTTCTCATCTTGGACACTCATATTTCACTCATATAGGTGTCTTAAAATGAGGACTAATAGATTGAGAAACAGTTTTTTTTCCAGGGCAGTCATTGTCTTGAATCAAACTCTGTGATTTAGTCCTATTATTATTATAATTATTTTAATTTTTAAATACTCTAGTGTGATTGTGGTGTGGTGTTTGGGGCATTGTGCTGGAGTAGCTTTCAAATTTCATTGTATTCGTGGAATGCAATGACAATAAAGGTATTCCATTCTTCTATTCTATTATGAGAACTATTTGCCAGAGGGTAAACTGCCTTGCCATTGTCCTTCATTGGGATGAAATCTTCCAGATGCCTGAAAAACTGGCTTCTCCGCATTTTGTGTGTGATCATTTTGCTATTCACAGCCATTAAAATGGGGAAGAAATGGGTGGAATGATGCATAATTGCATCAAAGTGCCACCATGGAAGGAAAGCTTGGAAAATGAGGTGCCAGTCTGCTTAGCAATGATCGGAAATCATGGCTGCTGAATGTTTGACAAGATCATCTGAGATTATGTGATGCCACAAAGTGTGTCGATTGACTGGGAGAGGAGAGGAGTGAGTCATATTGTGTCATGCAGATAAGTTTTTTTAAGTTACATTTGTTTTAAGGCAAAACGTTTTTAGCACCTCAATTTTCCAGTTGAAACCATTGGGCTTAAAAGCACTAAACATTTAATAAGAGCATGCAAATGATATACAATTCCTTCAGAGAGTTGATATAATAAAGGAATAATGCAAAAACACATAATCTATTATGTACCATAACACCATTGACCTGGGCCTCATTTTGAAATAATTCAGATTTAATGGACAAAATATACCAGGTCCAAATTTTATCTGAATTTCAAGCAGCTATGGTCTTGGCCTAAAACAGGGGTTTCAAACTCGCGTCATTATATAACGTATTGCATCTTTTCCCCCTTTGTTAAACAGTGTGGGCGTGGCCTGCGCATGATAAATCTGGC